CCCAGGACCCAAGCCCCCAAGGCCCAGCCAGGCCCCCGGCCCAGCCAGGCCCCCGGCCCAGGGACGGGGCACCCCCAGAACCCCATGCCCATGCCCACCCAGGGGCAGCCAGGCTACCAGGTCAACCCACGTCTGTGAGCACAGACCCTCCCCTAGCCCCGCTGCACGCAGCCACGAGGAAACCATCACCTACCATGACCGCAACCCCGGGTTGAGCCCTCCAAAGCCCCTTAATTGAATAGTTTAATTCAAGCCTCAATCACACAGGTGTAGAAACTAATTCCCTAAGCAGTATAGCAAGTGGTTGCTGCAGGTTGTGCAACAACCACTCGCTGGGCCAACATCTGGCTGTCCCAGATGTTGGCCCAGCCTTTATCACTTCAAGGTTTAGGAGTCCCAAAAGGTTGATTGTGTTTATCTGGACGTAACATTTTAAGTAGGAGAAACATTTCATCACTCATCCAAGTGACTTCTTCAGTCTCGGCTAACTGCAAGTTCCCCCAACCTTATAAACAGTACATTTGCATAATGACTGAAACTACCCACTGAATGAACAATGGGCTGTGAGGTCAGTTCCTTAATCATTGATATGCAAACTGTGAGACCATTGCTCAACAGCCAGTGATCAAAGCCCATTGATCAGTGGTTTGAGTGAGTCACAAAATGTTTCTCTCACTGAAAACGCTACGTCCAGATGAACAGAATCAACCTTTTGGGATTTACGTACCTGGATGATTGAGCATGCATCAAGACAAGGTTTAGGAGTGTTTATGGGAAACTTTGACTATTCCTAAGAAGCACATTTGTGAGGTCAGATACTGATGATGGACCAGAAGGCGTGGCTTGCAGTTTACACACTGTTAGAATGATCAAAAAGCTGACTTGGGTTAGAAGAAATGGATCTGAGTGTAATGCACAGAATCTAAAGAAGGTTGCACTAAGTCCTGTTCAGACTGGATTTCTGGATGAAAGAATATACAGAGAACATAGAAAGACATTGAGTCAAACAGCATCATGGGCAGCATTTACCACAACCAAGCACCCCAGCTGAGCCAATCAATCAGACTGCCTTACCCCTTGCTGCGCATCTGTCAGCACATGAAACAATGTGTATGTGTTGTTCACAGTATATCAGTGGGTGCTGCCAAAGACTGACAATCAGCTGCGGTTCACCTCTTCACCTCACACCCTTTATCAGGTACTCCTATATGAAGAGAAATGGGAACAAAAAGCAGGTCCTGGAGGGAATGGGTAGTCTTGAACTTCGGACATGCAGTAAGGGGTAAGGAGACTTCGGGGTTCAGGGCTAAGAGTGAGAAAGTGAGTAGTACCCTGGGAAACAAGACAAAGTGAGAGAAATAATATTTAAAAGACAGAAAAACAAAGGAGGAGATGCAAAAGAACAAGTTGTTTTTCACAGATTTAAACAGGATTGTGTTCATCAAAGGGAGAAACCTCTGAATAAAGAGACATTTATTTTTTAGTCTATCATCAAGGGTGTAATCAGTAGCAGAAAAGGCCAAGCCAGTGTTGGACGGACCTTAAACCTGCTTTTTTTTTTTAAATGCCCATGTCCTCTGGCTGCAAACGAAGATCTGTTTGAATAGAAATTAATGAGAAAATTACCCTACTGACCTCAGTAAAACTTTTACTATTGAAGTTACAGCCTCATTTGCCGGTTTTAGATTTTGTAACAATCCTCATTACTTTAATGATTATGGCTCTTCTTCTGCTTCTTTCGGTTGCTTCCTTTATGGGTCACCACAGCAGATCATCTGCCTCCATCTCATCTTATGCTGACCATCTTCTTCTGTCACACCAACCCTCGGCATGGCCTCCTTCAATTCAATAATGAATCTTCTCTGTGGTCTTTCTCTTTTCCTCTTGCCTGGCAGCTCAATTTTCAAGACCCTTTGTTCAGTATATTCACTATCCCAGCTCTGCCTTGCCTCTCTAACTTTGTCTTCACCTGTTCCACCTGAGCTCTCCCTCCGATGTGCTCTTTTCTAATCTTGCCCAATCGGGCCACTCCCAATGAAAATCCAAACATCTTCAACTCTGCCACCATCTCAGCCTCCTGGCCTTTTCTTAGTGCCATCGTCTCCAAACCATACATCATTGCAGGTCTCACTACCATTTGTAAACCTTCGTTTTCACTCTTGCTGCTCTCCTTCTGTCACAAATCATCCCTGACCCTCGGCTCCACCCACTCCACGCTGCCTCCGATCGCTTGTGGACTGTTACTTTGAACGGTTGATTCCAGGCATTCGAGCTCATCTCTCGTCGCAATCTCTACTGCTTGCATTAAACATATGAAGAAAGCAGGCATATACACCTTAAAAACCGAGAAAAAATAACTTTGTTTTTATTACATTTTTTTTAATCCGCTTTCAATAATTACATCATACTGTCTAAAAATCTGTTAAATACTCAAAATTTTGGGAAAGTGAGAATAGTGGGAATTTTAAGCCAACTAAAGCTCTCATAAAGTAGAGCATTGTTATATTAAAGGGATTATGTAATTCATCTTATAATAGTGACATTCATCTGCCCCTTTGGCTCAGAGCAAGGCGGGAAAAAGTCACACATCTCTGTCTGTAACCTGCCAGCAGCAGCTGAAAATAACACCAGCTTCAGTAAATGGTGGTTAATTAAACAACACACCAAAGGATGGAGCTACTTTAAGCTAATCTATTGATTTTTTTAAAAGTCAGTAACAGGTAGATATTTATTATCTAAAAAGCTGGAAGCAAACATAAGGTAAAGGCTGAATTTGCCTGACAGGAAGTGACTGAGTGACTTGAGTCTTGAAAAATTAAAAGATGGCAATTCAACAGGAAGTCTGACAATAGAAAAGAGCACAGCCAGATGTTGAGTTAACTTGACACAAAGACAGATGTTTGCAGTATTTGTAGTAGTTACTGACAAGGATGTTTTTTAATTATTTAAATTAATGAAGAGTGATGAAAAAGGTTAGATGTTATCTATCTATATTAGATTTATCAAGTGGAAAATAATAGAGTAGTAGTTTTAAAAATGTGAATATTACTCACTCTTATCAAACTTATTAGTAATATTGTTTGTAGCCGTAATAGAAGATTGGAGAGTAGGAGTGATAGTGGAAGTACTATTTGCATTAGTATTACTATTTGTTTATTTATACACAAAAGTGCCAAAAGTACAGACATGCACTTAAGTAGAAGTACAGATACTAGTGCTGAAAACTACATGTGATCAGCTGTCCTGGGCCACCGCTCTGAGGTTTACTGCTGTTTCTGGACGTACACAACTGATTTAACAAGATGTGAGCGGATGTTTTTTAAGTGTTCGTAGTTGATTTCCATCCTCTACACTGACAGTACACTATTTATTCTGTCTTTGTAATAAACAGTTTTTAGTTGGTATGAAGATCGAATTCAGTGAATCAATCTAAGCATCATCAGCTCAACTTCAAATGTATCTATGCTACACTTGATGTAAGCTAACGCTGACCATGAAGCCACCGTGCACCAGTTCTTTACTTTAAATCCATCACATTTGTTTAAAAATATATTCCTGTTTGTTCAAAAAGGGAGTAAAAGTACAAAGTGGTAGAAAAACCCTACTCAAGTAAAGTACAGATACCTGAAATTTATACTTAACTACAATAGCAAAGTATTTGTATTCGTTACTTCGTTCCCATCTCTGATTATGCATGCCAAATATCAGTGCTGTATTTGTGTGTCTGCATTGCAGGAGAGCCAGTGGCTGGACAGCGTCTCTCTGCTGATTAAGGACTCGTTAGAAGGAGACCTGATCGACAATCTCTCCGGTTCAGTTTTTCACCACTACGGCTCTCCTCCTATCTGCAAAGACTGCAAGAGTCATCCTCAAGAGGTTATCAGCGCTCCACACACACAGACACTCACAAAGCACAACCCTAAACATCTGCTGCCTTCATTTCAAATTTACAAGTCAGTAATAAAGTGCCACTACATCAATTATACAGATGCATATATTCTAAACACTACTAATGCACACACATACAGTGCATATGCAGTATAATGTATTCAGCAGCAAATAAACTGCTGAGCATGTCTTCATTTCACATCCCACACACATTCACAAATTGGTGAATGTGGCACACTGACTCCTTGTTTCATATAAGTATTTTCCCAGATGTGCAGTAAGGGGCTCTAGATATACTATTACAGTGGTTCCCAAATTTTTTTTGGTAGGCCCCCCTTTGTTTTACAAGAAAAATGTGATTATTCATTGTCATCTTTAACACTAAGGAATTAAAGTAGGAAAAAAACTTTGCATTAGCTGCTTTTATATAAAACACATCATAAATGTAAGTTATGTTTGTCCGAGTGAGATCCCAGCAAGGTTCAAGGAATACAACTTACATATTTTTGTAGTTCTGTATATACAGATTACACGGTGTGTTTGCACTGCAGTGTAATCAAAACATAGTACTATACTGCATTAGGATTTTCATGGCTAGAAGTGCAGCTGAAACTATGTTCAGAATGTCAATCTTTTAGATCATGTGCTCATGAAAAACTGAGAAAATCCATTTTTTATTCCTAAAAGGACTTTTTTTAAATACTGTATTCAATAAATATGTATTGTATGCACTTTAAAATGTATTTTCTATTATCCAGTTTTTATCTGATTTAATCTCATTGAAAATAAAATCAAACACAGTTCTTGCAAAATGTAATTTGCTTTAAAGATAGAGCGGGGCTGTGTTTATTACTATAGGGCCTTGTATTAATTTCTGTTGTCTGTAAGGATATTCTTGACATTTTCCCCCCTTGTATAATCATGCCCAAAGGATATACATGGCACCACCATAATGATGTATGAGTGAGTGAACTCGTCCTGAGTTTTCCTGTAATAGCCATAGCTGTGAAAATCATCAATCACACATGAGAACAAACACCAGTTTCAGCTGAGGTTATTCTTTGTATTTGATATATATAATCTGCAGGGTATGAGTTTCATTTCATGCAAGTGTGTACATGTGTACATGTATGTATGCGTGTAAGAGTGTAAGTCATTGTGTAAGTCACAGTGGTGTGACGCCTGTGTGCTTTAGATACTGTTTCTACATTTCACTCATATCCAAGTCACCTTTATACTAAAAACTGTATATAAAAGATGGGCACAACCACTGTGACATTACTCATGGGTTTGTGGATA